AAGTTTATATATATATATATATAAATAAAATATAATGTGATTAATTACAACTACTCGCTTTACACTGCCGAGGAATAGGAACAATTTCGCGTATTCAGTCATGCAAACTTTCGTTTCTGATTTCTAGAGAGTGCCATAAATTACTTGAATCAGATGACAAAATATATTTTTAAAGCCTTCTATTGCGCAGAAATCGGTATCCTAACAAGATCAATTATAAGATTTATTAAACTTTTTAATTGCCGTTATTAGTATACTATTAACATATATTTTTCTAAAACATCTATGACCAAGTTTCGCGGCATTCGAAAAAATTGAGAGTGCAAATTAAGCATTTTATAAATATCGCATTTTGGTATTGCGTTAGGTACATTTCCTGCTGCTGGTACACACCTTTTATAAGACGCTCTGTATGTAGCATTTAAAACAGTGACATTGAAATTTTGCAGGGGTATGTATTACCATTTTTCTTATAAATTTTCTCTATATAATACTTATTTGAACATATCTTTATTTTTATTTTATTTATCCAATCATGTTATTAAATAAATATAATTGTGTGTGTACTGTTCTTTCTGAAATATTTATTTGAGTAAAACATTTTAATTAAAGAGAGAAAGATTTATATATATCCAAATATATTAATTTCAGTTTTTATCCAGCAGCAAAATTCTTTTCTGATGTTTGCCAAAAAGCTTGAGCAAATTTAAAATGATGATACAGGAATTGAAGATTGTTGATTAAATTCATTGAAAAATATTTACTGATTTACAGATAAATGTTACACAGAGATCACATAAATGATAAATTGATAAAATGAGTTTTATTGTTTTACTGGAAAAGAAGAATAAATCAATTAATTAATTAAGGATAATCATGAATCACATCATATTGTTGCCAATATTGATAAACTGAACTGGGCCAATGCATATCATTCTTTCCCTCCAAGCTATGAAGTTACGTCTTACATGACCATTCGTTTTCTTGGAGCAAGAAAATGTGGCAACTGGTTTGATAATTTGCACTCATCTTCTTCAACATATATATTTTTCACATATTGTCGATATATATATATTTCTTTTATTTGAATATTGATCTTTTTATTTACAATTTTCTTATTATGAACAAAACTGATTGCTAATAACTATCAGAGCTGTTGGATACACATGATTGTCATTGCCATCAGGGAAAGAAACAAGACAAAGGAAAGAATTTATGCTGTAAAATTGAATTCTTAATCTTTGCGATTAAGGATTAATTTTAACCGTTTCCTTTTAGGTTCTATAGTTTGTTTTTTTAAAAACACTTATTTCCTAAAAAAACGAAACGCGCATATTATACGCATGAAAAAATATATATTTTAAAACTAGATTTTGCAAAAATTTAATCATTAACACATTTTCTTGCTCCATTCCGAAACGAATCGCACGATGATGTCATTAACAAATTAGAATAACTTAGATGTAGCCCTTGAAGGGCAATAGATAAGCGGCGGTAATATCCCTACGTATGTGCATATATTTACTAACGCGTAATTTGTAAATGATCACAGCTGCTTGAAACCGAGCATAACAAATGTACAAATTGCATTGTACTGTCGTAACCAATTCAGATTGTTATTATTCTTCTGCTTTTACCTTTGTTAATATTATTTTTATTATTTTATCATTATATTATAAGTATCCACGTTAATGTCGTTACTCTAATGTAAGAAAAAGCGAAATTTTTTTACTCTGCACGCTTTACTGCTGTTGTAAAGTCGCATTCAAACCGACTTAAACAGGAAATATTTTTCCTGAAATTAGTTTTAGATAAAAACTGTAAATTTTTTTATACTCTTGCATTGAAGTAACGACATTATTATCGATATATTCAGTGAGTTAGTATTATCAATATCAGCTTGTGTGTGTATGTATATGCGTATTAAACTCGGCTGCGTCTGCTGTTTTATCTTTTCTTCCTTGTCTGAATATAGGGTAGATCGAAAATCATGCACCTAATAAGGTGATTTCTTGTCGACATAAGCAATTTAAATATGCAAAGACCATACTTTTTAATTTAAAAATGTAAGTACCTAAAAATCTTTATTTCTGGAACTGGGGATTCTGAGTTAAGAAAATTTAATGATTTATCAAAGAATAAATAAACTATAAATCTAAAAATGCGAGATTTTGGACATAAAAATGTTACATATTCAGAAACGGTATTAATATAACCGATAGTAATCGTGTAGCATTTCATGTGTAGCATTTTCAATATCTAAAAATAAGACTCAAGGATACAATATGCACTTAAGAGAAAAATTGAAAAGGGTGATTTACTTATTAAAATGAAGAAGTTGGTATATGTATGCATATTAGAAGTTGCTATCAACAAAAAAAATACTTCGAAAAAACAAAGTTACTTGTATAGAAAAAAAAATTGTTTTTTCGAATTATTTTATCAGAAAATTGTTTCCACTTCCACATATATTGTAGCGAGATTTTTGAACTACCCTGTGTACTTTGTAATATTTCGAAATAATGATAACTCTCTGAGAGAGGTATTTAATCGTTCGAATTATCGTTTTTACTTAAAATAGGAAGAGATTTAATGCGAAGAGATTTTTGATGTGGCTTCCAATTCTTCCATCCTTCTGTACTTAGTAAGTGTAACGATGTTTCTTGTAAACGTTATTGTATGCGAACGCATGTATTATAAAATTCTCTTTGTATAACGCCCATCGAATCGACTCTGTATGTACGATTGTACAAATCTCTGCACGATCCAAGAATCCGAGAATCCATAGATCTAAGTATTCGAAAACCGAAACGAGTTAAAAGAGTTATAAAATTCATGGATCTGCTCAGTCGAACAGGAGCCAATATTAGAGTTGCAATTGAGTATCCTAAAATCCGAGACTGTAAGGATATAAGAATCAATGAATGTATACAAGTGTGCAATTATTCGATACAATGTGTGATAATTAAAAATTTATTAGTATAGTAATCTATGATGTAATTAAGAATCGTGGATCGAACGATTAAAGATTTTAAGGACATAGTCTTTAGAGTTTTAATGTTAAATGGAATATCCAATCAGAAGAATTGAGAGAACCTACCAAAGATTCAAGAAAAAATTTGAAAAGTTAATTATAAGAAATCAAAAATATCCAGAGATGTGAGAATTGAAAAATTTAGGAATTTAAAAATTGAATAGATTAAGGATTCAAAGATCCAATGATCCAAAGGCTTGAAGCTATATAAAGAATGCACGCAACATACAGATCAAAATAACACACAAAGAAAAATCTAAGGATTCAAGGATCTAAAAATGTATCTTTTAGATATACTATATGTATTATTATTATTACGTTATTGCGTATGAAAAGTCTGTTTTTAATTTAGACTGATATAATCTCAAGGAATTTTTAACAGAATTAGAGATATAGATTATTTTTTATATAAAAAAAATATTTTAATATATATATAATAATATACACAGCTATACAAAAGATATGTACGGCATTTAAAAAGCTAAAGATTAAAGCGTTTACTTTATTTATTTATTAGCCAGAAATAAAATATGTACACTAGCATATGTACACTTTTCTACATTTGTAAATTTTATGATTTAGTGACATTATATTAATAAACGTAATATATAATATTCTTAATAATATTAATAAATTCAATACATACGCGCGTCGGAATAGCTAGTTTTATAATCTGCGATTAAATCTTAAAAATTTTAAACAATTCGTGCGCTTAATAAATAAATTATTTTTTTTGCAAAACAGCTTTTTACCACATACTTTTAAATTCAATGTAAACATTAAAAAATATACAATAGAATACAGGAATACTACATACACAAATAAATATATATTAAATGTACTAAAAGCAAGAAATTAGACGTCTAAAATTAACATAAAAGTTGGAAATTGTGTATTTAGATTATCCTGGAAATCAAAAAATAAATTAGGTTTTAATATTCCGAAATTTAAAAAAATGTTAGTTGTACAATAAAGAATAAAAAAATTTGGAAACAGGCTGATTAAACGCGGGAAATTAGAAAATTTGACTTTTCATACGCAAACACGTAATATATTAATATCTAATTGAAGCAAGGAGAAACGCGAGTGAGAAAGTTTTGCCGATAATGTTCTCAATCTTGAAATCGTAATCACAAGGATTTCGAGCCGCTGCCTTGCTGTGCATAATGAAGTGACAAATATGTAAAAAAAAAAATATATATATATATATACACACATTCAAAAAACGGCAGAAGCAGAAAATGCGCGTGTGTATGTGTAAATGTACATTTGTATGTTCTGTATGCGTGTGCGTATGTGTAAAAAGAATAGCGTTCGAGGCTTTCGCCGAGTGAAACGGCCGCCAATTCGAGTCGAGACTTTTTTATATATACGAATCCAAAAAATTTCTTAACAAAAACAAAAGAATAAAAAAAATGCGATAAAAGCGACTGTTATGCGCGGCTTTTGTGCATCGTAAAATATTAGAAACAGTTGCGTTATATTAACAATTGTATTATTATTATTGGGCGAATTTTGTCTTATAAAGATTTTTTTTTTCATGATTTATATTTTCACCCGTTGAAGGCCCGCTTCATCGCAACAAGTAGCATGGTCCTATTTACATCGACAGCGTTTAGCACGAAATGCGGCTATCCGATTATGGTTCCAAAATAGAATTTTACAATTATATGTACAGAAAAGATTTTATATATATATATTTTTTTTTCTCATTTTATTTCATAATTTTTAATATTTTTTTAAATATTTTTTTCATGACTATGTGCTTTTATAAGAACGTAGGTCATCTCGGGAATTTCTGTAGATTTCTCCCTTGCTTTTGACGTCATCGAATTATGTATATATATAGCCGAATCGATACCACGTTAAAAAGTTCAAGATCAATTGACTACATTTAGCGCTAAACGCAGCGTTAATCTTAGAATACTAATCATACTTTTAAGACATTTAACATTAATCATACGTTAAATTTACGTATGTTGAGATTTTTCCCGAAGAAAAAAATGTCGAAAGAGAGAGAGAGAGAGAGAGAGAGACGAGAAAAATAAACTTTTATTAAAAATAAATTATGCTATTTTAATGGGGATAAAAGTTTCATTACTTCCAATAATTATTTTTTTTATTATACATTTTTCGTCTTGCTGATAAAATATAAGTATATAACTCTGTTATCTCTTATGTTTATATATATATAACTATTATATATCAGGATTTGTTTGGACATTTAGTATTAAATATAACAATAATCCAAATAAGTTTAAAAATATTTAGAGTGAGCTATATACATACAGTATATATTACAATTTAATCAAAAATATCTGCTATTACTTGTTGCACATTTAACATATAAATTAGCATTGTGTCTTGGCTACACAAGATGTTTCAAAACTATTGCATACTTTTTTTTATGCTCAGATACCAAACTGAGAAGAACATTTAGAACATTAACAGTTGCTCGATTGTAAGTTACATTAAAAATAGTTACAGCAATACTATACCAAAGTACTTGCAGCTATAAAATGATGAGATAGCTTTGATACATTCCATATAGTATACAATGCAATATAAAAGATTAAATATATATTTTTTTATGTTAATATGTTAGGCGGATAAGGCACAGTAAACGCAAAATATTAGATCGATCCTTGTAGATTTACACAGAAGAATCGGATCTGCGTTTACACTGATGGAATCCTTTTAGGATTCAAATCATACATACGTCGCATCCGTTTCTTCAATTCTTGCGGAAATTTGTCATAGCATTTCTTGCATGCGGGCTTTAGATCGAATTCAAAGAACTTTGTCTTCTGATTCATTTTTTGATCGCAGAATGCACATGCAAAGTGATGGACGCACCATGCCTTGTTCAATGCTGTAAAAACTGAGAAAAATATTGTATTAGATTAGAAATATTATCAATGCTCACAAGAAAAATAACCCATATTATATGATTATGCGATATATGATTTAGCGCTTTTGATATCACAGTTCAATATAACTTCAATGAAGAAACTTTAATAATTGCAGAAGTTCAAAATATTAATGGAAAAGAAAAATATTATATATTACAGCACAGAATGTTTAAAAAATTTAGAGAGTGAAAAGAAAGTAAAAGTCCAAAAAGATAAAACAACTTGCGTTTATATAGTAATAAAGATTGATTTTTTTAAATGAAATTTCATCGATTGTATTTGGATTATCTAATCTTTAATGTATCATCACTGTATACCACATACCATCTCCAGAAATAACTTGATTACAGACAAAACAAAGATTCCCAAATAACTGATGATAATGAGTCTCGCAATATGCGAGACCCTTTTTCTCATAATGACGATGGCCTAGGAAGGGTTTCTCACACTTTGCACATACGAAATGCTCTACATGCCAATGTTTACCAAGCGCAGTTACTACGCGCTCTTCAATGGGACGCCGACACGCACCGCAAATTGGAATTCCCATTTTATCATGACACCGCAAGCAATACAACTCGTTCTATATAACAAAGTTAATTGTTAATATATTAGACATTAGACTATGAAAATGTTCATTGATAAAAGACATTTTTGTATATGTAATTATTAATTTTTAGAATAGAAGATAATTATTATTTTGTAGATTGCTTAAAGTTTATTGACAAACTTTTAGCACAATATTATGATTAAAAGTATTTTGTTCGCGTTCTTGTGTATATACATCTGTATATATAAATTTAGATATATAAATATTTTTATATATTTAAGTGATTAAAATATCCAATCCATATAATCTTACCATTTCATTGGCAGCATATCCAGGTCGAGAACGAACTTCTCTGGCTTCAGAATTGAGTTCTACACCACAAGTTGTACAATTAAAGTGATATGGATGATAAAGTTCGCCACGAAAACGTAAAGGCTTGTCATCAATCACTCCACTGGAAATCGCGAAAAATAATATTGATGAAAACACTTTTCTTTCTTTCTTTAAACTTTACAGATTTTTGAAAATTGTTCAGGTGTTTCTCTTTATCAAGTGAAACTTTTATGCAAGAGTAAACACAGAACATACTGGCATTGATGGCATATGTGTTTCCCGAGCACGCCGGCTTTTACTCTGGCATTGCATGTATGGCATAATGCTCTGCCTTGACACTTGATAAAGCCTGCATCCGCCAATTCACCGTTACACTCTTCACAGCGAAAACATTGTGGATGCCAGTTTGAATTCATTGCCTTAATCACACGGCCAATAACAAACTCACCTATCACAAAATAATTCGAGTAAGTATATTTAAGTACATTACAATCTATACTCCCTCAACACACCATTATCTTAGAATAACTATCTTAGAATAAAAGTGCATATGTTGGAATAATTGAGTGCAAATTTTTAAAATTAGCTTACCACATTTGCCGCAGCATGGCGCAAACAGAACATGAAAGTCATGTTCGCAATATTTGTATCCTTCAAATTCATAGAAGATTCCATCTGGAAATGGCCTAAAGCACTGTGCGCACCTGTCAAAATAAAACAACAATCCATAAGATTCAATTCATAAAATAAATGGTATAATCTATATTTTTGTGTGTTATGCAAAATAGCAAAGAAACCGATGTTTTTAAAGCACTTATTTGAAAAATAGAAAAAGAAAATTTTGTAAAAAGAAAAACTTCTCCAAGTGTCTATGTATGTATATGTAGATACTTACACAAAACATTGTGGATGCCACAATTCGCCATTTGAGTTAACAATCTTTTCGTGCGCGGCAAAACCTTCTCTGCAGCGAGAGCAAAACATATGATCCAATGACATTTCTGTAACCCTGCATATATCATACATTATATAAATTTCTTTCAAATACTTATTATTAATTATATTAAATAATAAAAATAAATTGAACATATCATAGTATTAACTTGAATTTAACAAGTATATTTCCAATTAAGTGTCCTTGAAGAGATGCTACTTACCCTGGCATATTTTAACAGAAGAGAATGATTATACGTTTGACCATCAAGAAATATTTCCACCTCTCGTTTTATTTACTCTTATTTGCACTTAACCCCTGCTTTACAAAAATTTATATTACTGGAACATAATTAAGGAATTAGTAAAGATGTGTTAAAGCTAATAATAAAAACTCAAAAATTATGTAAATTAATACACTATATCAATATTCAATTTTTTCATTATAAAACATTGTACTAATTATATATCAATCTGTAATATTTATTTAAATTTAATCCTCTTTTGCTTATATCTACTAATTTTTAACGTATATTTAATTTACAGCTTAGTTATTTTAATTAATAGTACGTATTTACGAAACAAATATTTACTTACTATTAATTAATTAATTAAAAACAGATAATGCCGAGGGACTACACGTATGTGATTGTCACACAATTGTTACATTCATATTTCTATCGGATTTTAAATCAAGACAGCCAATCCGATCTCAATGAACGTAACATGGCCTTTTATGAAAATGAACGTGGAACTCTATGAATGTGTTACAGATTTTGCAATTTGCCCTACGCCACACCCTTACGGGAGTAATGATGACGCGAATGATGTCAAACGCAAATTTGGAATCATCAAGGCAGTTTTTCAGTGAAACGTCCGAGATGTAAAAGTTCTGTCACACGTCACACCCGCATTTAAAGCCAAGTCCAGAAGTAATCATATAAATACGTACGTACAGAAATCGGCCAATCACGTGTCAAAGAATGCAAAACATATACTTTATTTGGTGTTGCAAATGTTTTGTTTGTGATTGACCAATCAAAATACAGATCTTTATTTCCTTTATTTTTCATGGAGAATGCATATTGTGTATATGCCATATATATAATAAAAATAATTGTTTCATCTGTATCTTTTCCGCATAAAATAACTTAGATTAGAAATATATATTTTTGATGAACACGATCATGATATAAACATTTTCTAAACAATATTATTAAAACAGATCTATAATATATAATTAATTTTTAATACTATCAATGAACTTTATTTTGTAATATTTACATTCATAAGATAATAGAAGTATCGAACTGTAATTATTTAATTAAAAGTAAATAACATTTATGCCGTTTGTGTATGAATAAAAATATAAAAGATTATCATGTGTACTATAAATAACAATTTCTTATATCCGTCACACAATAAACATGTCAAGATTGAAAGATTACATTACTGAATTTTTTTTCCTATAAAAGAATACAATATTATAGATTATATAATATTATCAAAATTTAAAAGTTGTAGACAAAAAGTAAAATGTGATATATTAGAAAAGCATATATATTTCTATTTTAGTTTCTAATTTTATTAGTTTTCATGAAAAATTAAATACTGAAATCTGAGAAATCTAGAATGCAAAGAGATTTAATGCCCAGATATAAAAATAAAAAA